TCTCTTCTCCAGGCTCAACAGGCCCAGCTCTCACAGCCTTTCTGCAGAGGACACATGCTCCAGTCCCCTCATCCTCTTTGTAGCCCTCCCCTGCACTCTCGCCACTAGTGCCATGTCTCTCTTGCACTGGGCAGCCCAGAAGTGCACACAGTACTCCAGCTGAGGCCTCCCCAGGGCTGAGGAGAGGGGCAGGATCACCTCCCTCCACCTGCTGCCAACACTCTTCCTCATGCAACCCAGCATACCCTTGGCCTCCTTGGCCACAAGCCCACATTGCTGCCTCATGCTTCACTTGTTGTCCACCAGCACTCCCAGCTCCCTCTCTGCACACCTGCTTTCCAGCAGGTCAACCCCCAGCCTCTACTGGTGCCTGGGCTTATTCCTCCCGAGGTGCAGCACCCTGCACTTGCCTGGGTCGAACTTCAGCAGGTTCCTCTCCGCCCAACTCTCCAGCCTGGCCACGTCCCTCTGCATGGCAGCACAGTCTTCTGGTGGGTCAGACACTCCTCCCACTTTCCTATCTTCAGCAAACTTGCTGAGGGTGCACTCTGTCCCTTCAGCCAGCTCCTCGATGAAGACATTGAACAAGACTGGAGCCAGCACTGACCCCTGGGGGACACTGCTCTCTACAGGCCTCCAACTAGACTCTGCGCCACTGACCACAGTCCTCCGAGCTCTGCCATCCAGCCAGTTCTCAAGCCCTCCAACCCACACTTCCTCAGCTTGCCCACGAGGATGTCATGGGAGGCAGCGTCCAAAGCCTCGCTGAACCCCAGGCAGACAACAGCCGCTGCTCCCCCCTCATCTCCCCGGCCAGTTGTCCCATCCTAGAAGGCTAGCAGGTTGCTCAAGCCTGATTCCCCTTTGGGGACTCCATGCTGACCCCTCCTGACGGTTGTCCTCCAGGCGCTCGGTGGTGACCTCCAGGATGAGGTGCCCCACCACCTTGCCAGGGACGGAGGGGAGGCTGGCAGGGTTGGGGGGACCGACACAGCCCGGCCC